GAAAACATCAAATAAATCCATGATTTCGGCGTTAAGCCTGGTACGCAGCTGAAAAGTAATGACGTTTTTACGTGCTACGGGATAGGACACGGAATGCTAAAGAAATTATTTTCCTGTAGCATTTCTTGACCCAGTACGCAGTTCTAAAGAAATCGGTAAAGAAAAGATCGATTACATTGGTATCCAAAGGCGCACCCCTTTGTCAGTCAAAATTGGAATCCTTAGCAAAAAATTAAACAATGACACCGATAATGACCATGCATCAGAACCCTAGTCTTAACCACTTCAAACTAGCGAACAACGAATAGAAGATTAGGAATCACATAGATGAAGACTAACTAATTCATTTTTTCCTTGTTTCAAGATCATCCTCAGTGGACAAAGCCGAGTCTTATCACTATCAACAAGGTACAAAAAGTAACAAGGACTAAGATGTGTTCCTTTGATTACTGGAAAATATGTTCCCCTTTGAAGTAGTCAAGATTAGGAATCGGTGGTAGATCTTACATCCCGTAACGTACCACGAAAAGATGATCTACCCACGTTATGGAGCAGAGGCTTTCTAACAAATGGTAATGACCTCAATAATACCTAACATAATTGGAACTGGAATTGAAATTGTTGCTGGTCAAATAGACAAAGGTAATAAAACCCAGTGAATGAAGAATCATTGTTTCTGATATCGGATTTAGCCAATTAAAGGGTGTCCACGATGAAATTGCCACACACAAAATTGATTCGCAAAATTCGAGTTTTCATCCGATTGCCATCAAATTTTCAGGGATTGAGAAATAACTATTAAACTTCATTTTACCATTTTACTCGTATTTTATTTACAGTCCATACGCAAATGCCCGCACCTTGGCCTTAACCCCGGCCATAAGATTCTGCACAACCTGTGAATCAACCGTTTTTTGCATGTAAACCCATACTTTCTTCAGTTCCTCGACTGTCTTCACTACCTTAGGTCGTTTAAGAAGGTGCTGCTTCATAATCTCCCAGTACTTCTCGATGGGGCGGAGCTCCGGAGTGTTGGGAGGGTTGAACTTTTTCGTCACGAAATTTACCTTATTGTCCGCATACCACTTCAGCACGTTCTTGGAGTAGTGGCATGAGGCCAAATCCGGCCAGAAGATTGTTGGGACGTTGTGGGCCTTCAGGAGAGGAAGCAGCCGCTTCTGGAGGCACTCTTTTATGTACACCTGTCCGTTCATCCTGTCCTGGGTCACGAAAGGTGCACTCCGCTTCCCGCACGTGCAGATGGCTTGCCAAACCAGGAATTTCTTCGCAAATTTGGACATCTTCTGAGTGCGGACATGCTCCGGAACGCTGAACTTATCCTTGGCCGTGAAAAACAGGTTGCCGGGGATCTGTTTGAAGTCGGCCTTCACATATGTTTCGTCGTCCATGATGCAGCATTCAACTTTCGTCAGCATGTTGAGGTACAACTTCCTGGCACGGGTTTTGGCGGACTTGTTCTGCTTCTCGTCGCGATTAGGGGCCTTTTGTACCTTGAACGTTCGAAGCCCAGCCTTAGTTTTGGCTTTCTAGACAAAACTTCGGCTTAGGTGCAGCTTCTTAGCCACATCCCTAACGGAGGCGTTCAGATTTCGGTTGAAGGCCCCAACTACGCGGTTGTGATTTTTGGTGTTGTACGGAATACTTTTTCCTTCACTTCTGGGCTTCCGATCGGTGGTCAACCGTTCCTCGAACCGCTTAATCACTCGCGACACCGTGGAATTCGCGATTCCCAACGTTTTAGCGATGGAACGATGCGAGAGATCCTTGTTCTCGTGATGAATGCGCAAGATTTTATCACGCACGAGCTGTTCTTTCGACTCCATTTCCGCGAGTTTTGATCACAGGACTTTAAAACTTGCAGGATGTAAATAATGCACTATGAACTAAATCCACCCAAATTTTCATTAAATTCTACCCAATTGTTAAGAAGTTAGAGCAATTTCATAGTGTGGCAATTTCATCGTGGACACCCTTTATACGTCGTGGAATTCGCTTGAGAGATAAGAAATTTCATGATCCTGGTCTAAAAAACCTGTTCAGGATTATGGCGCTAGAAATTTATGAAATGTGTAACATTGAGGTAGAACGGTGTCTTAAACTTTGAAAAAAAAACTGATAAAAAACAGGTATTACAGAAGTAATACCAAATTAGACCAGTGATCGACTCGACTTACATAAAAGGGCCCATAATTTCCTTACTGGCGCGACACTCCCCTATGTCATGTTAGCATGTTACAAAATGAAGTTATCATCTAGTCTCAACCTGCCGGCGCCGGTGGTGTAGTGGTAAACGTGACTGCTTTCTCACACCCCAATGGGTCTGGGTTCAATCCCAGTCGAGGTCGGTGGGATTTTTCTGAGGCATAAAAATCTCTGGTCACGTCTTCCTTCGGAAGGGAAGTAAAGCCGTTGGTCCCGGCTCATGTGTGTTGAATGGGTGCGATATCCTACGCAGGTGTGGAGCTGCCTTCCTGCACATTCGATTGCCGTCAATGGATGGCAATCGATGTCCGTCGGTGATTGGCACTAGATTGCGGAACAGAGACCGACGTTAAATAAAGGAATAAAAAAAAAAAAAAAAAAAATCTAGTCTCAACCTGTACGATTAACGAAAGAGAAACTCGATTAAGAGAACCGATCATTGCATGCAGATAGGACCTTTTGAAATGTTCATCTAGAGCTCACCGCAACACTTTGTTTTTTAAATTCCTACGGCAAGTTAATTTTACCGTAATCCGGTCAACGTGAGTACTTACTATAACTTTCAACAACGCCGGCTCCGTCCCAGAAAGAGAGGTGTACTCGAGACGAGCTCAAAACGCCCAACCTACCCCACACTTGGTGTAGCCGCAGTGCTGAACAAACACATTCACAACCCGATATAGCCGGATTGACCACTTACTCATCATCACCAACCAACCACCACGTAAATTACACCGTCTTCCAAGTCTTACCCCGGTTTACCTCAGTCCCTCAATGAAATTGCAATTAAACCACACAACAACAACAACAACAATGTGCTTCAATGTCAGTACCAGTTAGTGCATCTAGCTTTTTGGACGTAGGTACAAATCTACGTTTGCAAACAATCCCCCTTTTTAACAACAACAGATTCTCTATGCAGGCGATGCGGTTATCTTGTATCCCCCTTCTCATTTTCTTGAACGCTGATATTGTGTGTGGTTTTGAATGCAGATTTCGAGGTCTGATGCACCAAAAGGTCACGTCGCTATACGTTCATCGTCCCCATCATTGGTTGGTGTACTTCCGTCATCACTAGATACCTACTGCTAGATCGCCCTTCATCAATGCAGCCGACCGAACGCAAACGGTGCTGGGTGGTGTTTGATTTCCTCGTTCAGCCGAAACTGGCACACCGCATCATCATCATCATCATCAACATCATCGCAGTTTGCCCACGGGTCAAGGTTTATCACTTGATCTAGTTAAGAGCCGAATGGCTATCATCGTTCCTATACAGCTAGGTACATTTTTTAAACTTAAAATGTGCTTCATTCGATTCGATATCTGCCTTACGGGGGTCGGTACATAACACACCTTTGGGCAACCACCGAATGCGCTTTTCAACCGGTGAGCATCGCGTTACATCAGAGTTGGAAAAATGCACCATTCTTTCCGGCCAAACAATAGGCGATAGAAATAAATGGAAACGTGAATCACCGAATCCCATGCATGTGGCGACGATGGGCGGTGCACGCAACACGCAAAAATGACGCATGGGTCATATTTGAGTGAAGTTCCTAGAACCTGATAAGAAACCTTGTATGTAAATAGAATTGCAATGGTTGGAATCAAAATAATAGGGACAATATCAATTTCTATCATGCAATCACAATTACCAACAAACCTGTTTTGTAGTAATAGAATTTATGTGCGGTTTTGGGTGACATTAACCTTTTATTGACATGCAATCTTCATTTAACTAAATTTAGCAAAAATCGCAGATAAGAGCTGTTGACAGGTATCACAGAATCAGTTAACATTTTTATCCTGATATTTTCAAATAGGGGAAATGTCGGCTTCGGCAATACCTTAATCTATTATCGTCAGGGGGTAAAATAAGCACTCAAATTTGGCCAATAGGTGCTCTGACACACAATGTATCTGCATGCCAATATTGAGGCCTCGAGGACGTTGTTTACCCCTTGACGATAATATAATGAGGTATTGCCGAAGGTGTCATTTACCCTATATCGTAACAAAAGTGGATTTGGGGCATGAGGAAGAAATAGTTCAATACCTTTTATTGCGAACAAATGTATGACTGTTTTTTTTAATCAGCTATCCGAAACAGCCGTAAACAACAATGAGGGTGAATATTTCTCAAGGGACAAACTTTGCCCAAAGCACACATTTGGAAATGAGAAAACAAATGAAGACCCTTTAAATGTGCCTAGCATCCAGTAGGTAATTTCGACAAACCGGTATCCCTGGTCGATAGATTAAGCTTGGCTTTAAATATCTTGCTCAACCAGTTGCATTTGGAGCAACAATCGAAAACAAGGGCTGGCACTCCAGCATAGTCAGAGACACACCTGTTAGACACAGTCCCATCACAGGTATTGGAATAGTCTCGACTTATATTTACTCACCCGGTCATTAGTTATTCATCAAATTGTCACCATTAGTGGGTACTTCGTCTTGGTGGAAAACCCCACGGAGCTGAGTTGCGGTAAAAATAAAGTATTCTAGACATGGGGAACGGTAACAGCGTAGCTGGGATTCCCAAGTGGTTATGCTTAGTGCGATAATTTACTGTCATCGGGCACGCAGTCAATTTGATCATCACTAGGTTCATACAAAAAAAACAAGCATCGCCTATGCACACCTGCTGCATTTTTTCAAAAACCACCAAAGTTACCAACTTCGAATTATAGTCAGCGTTGTTCATTTCGTATTCACAGCACATCCGCCCGTAGCCATATAATCTAATCAAACTCAATTGTACACCATTTCAGTCATCGACCGCCCGCTCCAATCAACGTAACAAACAATCTAAAACGGCGTGTCGTCGCAGTCCGGTACGGCACCACGTCCAATTTGATTGACCACCTGTGCACGAGGCGGCGCACGCATTCCACGTTCCGTTGAGAATAGTTAGATTGATTCGGACGGACCAACAACGGAAGTACAACACCTGCTAAAGCGATGCACCAACGATGGCCTTAAGTTCGAACATCTACGCGATACTGGTGACCTGCTTGGGATTCTTCTGTCTGGTGTTCAGTGCCACCGCCGTCGGGGTGCCGATATGGGCGTACTACGAGAATCGAGGGGGAGGTAAGTTTTTGGAAATTAAATCAATTTGTGTTGCTGAATCTAACATTGATTTTATTTTTGGTAATTTTTTAGACGACAGAGGGTATTTCGGACCATGGCAAAAGTGCCAGAAGATTAGCTACCGGGAACGGTGTGGAGACGTCGGCCGGTTTCAACCTTCAGGTAAGCTACCAAATAAGACACCAACACGCCAATTTTTTCCTCTCCGAATTTCATGAAACTTTGTACAATTGTTCATGAGGAGCAACGATCCAATTTTGAGTCGAAATTCGGCCATTTCTGCACGCAGAGAAATAATTTTTTAATTCAATGTACTTTTGACTCAGGACTTAATATGTTTTTGGTATTGATTCAAATACATTATTCGATTAATTCAACAAAAAATATTTTTGAATCAACAAACCGGTTGTAGAGTCGATAATCCGTTTGTTGATTCTAAGAACCATTTTGTTGATTCAAAATTATGTTTTGTTGGAATAGTGATACAATAAGCGTTATGTGATCGACAGGGTACCCGGGTAACTTTTTCAGATTTCAAGTTAATAAATTATAAAGTTATTTTCACGACAGGAAACCAGAATTAAGTGACATCTTAGAACTCATGGAGAGACAAGTTTTCATTAAGAAAGATTTCAAATTGCAGCAAGGGGCTTCGAAAGGGGGGGAGGGGGGGTTTCGTGAAATTTTTTACCCTTTAGGAGCTCGACAAGGGTACTATCACAGGAGTGGAACTTCGGATCAGAAAGTGGCTCCACTTGGCATTTGCGAACACTAGCGAACCTAGCGGTAGAAGGCATCTTCTGCCTGCAGTTAAGATAGACAGCATCCTATGATAGTGTGAGTGCACATAGAAAGCCCGTGTGGAACGCTACCACAACACATAGCTTGTTGAGCAGAAAAACGAACCATTTTTGATTCACCGATTTGTTTGCACTTCCCCTTCTGTTCTGTGGTACTATGCTTTCCTGAGGTTTTCTTAATTTGTTTAATAATCCAGCAAATTTTCTATTCATGTATTTTATGAAATATTTTCATAATTCCCTGACGCTTCGGACATTTTAGGATCAATCATAGAATTCTTGGAATACCCTATAATTCCACGGAACACCTTTGTAAGTCGCTGCAAATTTGCTTAAGTTAATGGGATTATTCTGAAGCTATCTGATCGTCCTCGATGTACTCGAAACTTCGCTGAATATCTTTAAACTAACTAAAAACATCGATATTTAGTTCTCTGGAATTTCTTAAAGATACCGCTACTTGCTAAAAGTTCTTCGTTGATGTTCTCTAATCAACTTAGCTAAATTTTCCCATTTTTTAAGTTCTAGAAATCTCCATGATATAACACCCTTAAAATACTCTCACGTTTTCCGGCTGTTCATAAAATTTCCAGGAATTCTCTCGGAGCTTTGCTGAAGTTTTCGGAAATTCACTGAGTTTCTCGTAACTTCTTCAAGGTTTCTAATATTTCTTGAAATTATTTGAACTGCCCTTTGATTCTCTGATCTGTCTTGATGTTCTCGAAGCTTCCATTAAGCTTTTAGTTCTATTGAAGGTCTCGATTCTGCTCGGAAATAAATAGAATTCCCGTAAACACCTTTAAATTTCCCTGAAATTCATTGGACTTCTGTGAAGTTTCTGAAATATTTCTGAAGTTTCATAAATTCTCTGAAAGTCTCTGTATTTCCCTGAAATTCGCGGAACATCTTAAGGATTCTCGATTTGTTTTTCAACACATCATGGGACTATCTTAAATTTATCTAAATTTACGATTATACATGTTCAATCTATCTAACTTTTCGGAGGTGCTTAGAACTTCTTAAGTTCGCTTGAAGTTCTCTGAAATTCTAAGAACATCATAAAAGTTCCTGAAAAGTCTCGAATGCTAAAAGAACCGCTTTGAGGTTCTTACAGCTTCCAGTAAGTTTCCCATATTTGCAGTGTGTTAACTTCCCTTATGTTCCTGCAGTTTGTTTATAGAGCTTCACTGAAATTCTCAGCATTTCCTTTCATTCCTCAGAAATTCTCCAAAGTTCCTACAATTGTTGTAAAGTTGATGGGACTGCATTGAAGATCTCTAATCTTCCATAAAGTTAATTACGAACTTGAAATAAATCATTTATTTGTTTACTTAATTCTGGCATTTTGAATATTTTCAATATCTTGAACTTGTACATGGAATACGAAACTTCAAGACATTGAATATTTTTAGATCTTGGATTTACTTACTTGGAAAACTCAGGTAATTTTATCCAGAAAAATTAGTAGACATCCTGTATATAGAGAAAGACGATTAAACGTCACAACCCAAAGAACAATCAATCTTGAAATAAATTCACGCTAAAAAAGTTGAAAATAGTGACTTATTACAAGAAAAAGTGACTTTAGTGACTTGGTCTTGAAAAAAGAGACTTTTTAGTGACTGACTTGAAAAAAGTGACCAAGTCACTAAAAAGTGACTCGCTACCAGCCCTGCTGTTAACCATAATTTTGTGATCATCCGATGGATTGTCCTCGGAAAGGTCATTCCGGAGGAGGTTTCCGTCTGGCCTCTAGTGGCCATAGAAGTGTTTGGGAAGAAACCCCTGCAATATGGGTATCAAAATTCATGAATTTACAGCAGGAGACTATGTCCCATGCCATTCTTTCGTCATCTGAATATCATGGGAAGCTTCCTATAAAGCACGCACACTAACCAACTCGGGGGCAACTTGACAGCTCCAGTATATTGCCAGTGTACCCCAGCAATTTGGTGCTGGTGGTTCTGTCAAACTCACAAATTTTAGAAGTGTTATCTGAAAAGAGCGAATGCGGAAATGATGTACAGTAAACAAAACTAAAGTTTAAAATTCATTTTATTGTTGCGCGCTCACTAAACCACACACGCGACGTTACACTCAAAAAAATCCACACGTCATCATCATGTGTCTCACACTTAATTGTGCACTTATTGTGAAACACATCCATTTCATGAGTGAATCTTATGCTGTGAACCATGCCTAAACACTATTGGTTCAAATTGTGACACACTTGGAGTCTATGAGCAGTACAGAATCATATGAAGCTTAAATATATGATTTGTAAACGACGTCTGACAGCGGTTTGCTAATATTTTCCACGGATTTTCACTAATACTTTCTCACAAAGCGCACTAACATTGGTGTATACGTATACGTGTACGCACACTAGTGCAATAAGCGTCAGCTATCTCAATGGCATGATAAGGTTTGTTTGCGAAAAGCTTGTAGACCCTTTTCTCGTGTTACTCTTCAAATGTGTTTTATTTTTCACCTTTAGCCCGCGCAACGGAATCCATCTTTGGCATAATCCTTTAAGACGTAAACAAATATTTCATGTAAAATTGAGTGTTCCCACTCTAGTAGCACCCTTGTCACAACCGGTTGAGGTAACTGCAATAGAGCTCATTTTAGTCACAATCAAGTTGCTGCAACTTTGCGTGACAGATGTGTGCTACTTGGGCAGACTGAAAAGTTCGTTACTCGACGAAAAGTACGTTTGATTGAGTTGAATTTCGCGTCTGTTATGACTGAATTCCCTGTCAAAATTGACGCTCGTATATGTCAGTTTCAGAGCACTTAAATTTTTTTTGCAGCGTGCAGGTAGTTCTACCAACAATCAATACGAAACTAACGATTTTAAATTGGCTCACTACTTGACTAGCCTATTGGTCCCAAGCAAACGATTAACGTATCCCATTCTAGTCGAAATTCTAGTACTACGCAATGTTTGTTTTGATTCGCTATGAAAGTTTGAAGTGAAAGACAACAAGTGCAGGGGTTCCTTCCCAAATACTTCTATGACCACTAGAGGCCCTACGAGAACCTACTCCGGAATGGCCGTCTCGAGGACAATCCATCGGATGATCACAAAAGTATGATAAAAAGTCTCCTGCTGTAAATTCATGAATTTTGATACCCATATTGCAGGGGTTTCTTCCCAAACACTTCTATGGCCACTAGAGGCTCTCCGGGGGCCTGCTTCGCAGGGTGGGAAGTGAATTTCCATTTTGAAATTCCTGGTTTTTTCTGGCTTTCCTGGTCAATGATTTGAAAATTTTCTTGTTTTAAAAACCTTGTATTTAAAAAACAATTTTTAATAAAAAAGATAAAGTGAATCAATACGGAATTTCACAAACCAAAATCAGGGTGTCGACTCAAAGTCGAAAATAAAATTCCCTGACTTTCCAGTCGGTTTTCAGAAAAATTCCAGTCCACAAAACTTCGTTATTTTAACCTAAGAAGCTACAACGTGATGTGCTTTATTATACCGTAGCGTAAATTAAGGTTAGTTTAAAATGAGCAGCAGGGTAAGCTTTCGAAAATATCAAGAATAGCATACTCATGGCACTTACAACAGAACTTGATACTAATACAATTTTTACAGACCATATGACCGACTACCTACGAAGGATGTGAATAGACCTAGGGCTTTAAATACATATTATAATATAATAATGAATAACTACTGCTCACAACTAGGCTCCCTATTCATTACTAAGTAAGGGGTACCACAAAAGATCAAATAATGGACGCAGCTCTCAATTTGTGTTCATAATTTCACAGCCAAATAAAAATCAACCCGTAGACGATCCTTTCTCTTTACATATAAATTATTGTAAAATAAATACAAAAAAAAAATAAAAGGCATTAGTCAGTTTTGTACTCTCTAGAACTCCATATGACAACCGCAGACATGGTAAAATAATTTAAGTTTATTTATCATTAACATTTTATTCTCTCAGTGAGTTCACATTACAACAAGAAATTGCAAGTTGAATATGTGTTAATTTTCGGATTACTTTTAAAAATGTTTATCATGAACACTTTTCTCCTGCAAACGACGATCCTTGTCTACATGGAAAGCGAATGCGATTTTTCGAACTCGCTGAATAATTTCATTCAAAATTTGTAAGTTTTCGAACCCGCTTGCATGAGTAACACCATCATAGATCTGACGTCGCACTACAACTGAAGGCCCAAACGCAATGTGGGCGGAAGCGGAACGGAAACGGTGTCACAAATGACATCAAGATGCCTAACCGCACTCGATTTGATTCTAAATGCCGGCGCACAATAGATACGTTTTCAGGTTTTTTGACAGTTAGCCCATGCATTATCTGTCAAAAAACCCGAAAACGTATC